TGCTTGCTTTAAACCTTGTTTCTCTCGATGTTTCTGTAATAAAGTTCTGATTCTCGTAAGAGGACTCCTGAGGTTAAAAAACAGCTTTGTGAATGTGTATTCTAAGGACTGTCGGTAAAAAAAAATAAATAAATAAACCCACAAGGACATAAAAATCGGGGCGGATGTGCTTCGGTGTCACTTTTCCCCGTTTTTCTTTCTTCTCAAATGAAAAGATGGAAATGGAATCTCTAATCCGGGCTGCCGTTAAGGAGCAATGGGGTTGAAAAGCAAAAGAGTTACAGTTGGTCCTCGACTTATGACCAAGTTGGGACCAGAATTCCCATTGTTGAGCAAGGCGGTTGCTAAGTGAATCGTGTCAAATTTTGCAAGCTTTTTTTTTTTTTTTGGCCACAGTGGTTAAACGAATCACTTCAGTTGTTAAGTGAATTGTGCGGCCGTTAAACAGATCTGCCCCCCCTCCCCCCCTTTGACTGGCGTAGAATGCCGGTACAGAATGTTTTTAAAGGAATTTTAAATTTTTTTCTTAGCTTTGGTTCACTTAAGGAGAAGAAGACGACGATATACAGTTTACGTATGGAGAAAATCCTGTTAAATTCTGTTACGTAAAAAAATATATATCTATGTGGTCATAGAGTTGATGGCTAATAAATGATTTTTGAGAGAAAAGCACAAATGGTGCGTATTTCTAATCAAAACTAGTTTAGTTTAGTTTATTCATACTTATATGCCGCCCTTCTCCCGAAAGACTCGGGGCGGCTCACAACAATAAAACAACAGAACAATAAAAATTAGCACTAAAACTAGTTTGGACTCTCTGGTTTTTAAAAAAGTTTGTTACCCTATTTAATGTTAGAAGCACAAGCGTGGCTGCCAAGCAGAATTTAGACGTGATCACGTGCAAAAAATACAATTTGCAAGGTTGCAAATGATTCTTAAAGCAGCATAATCTGGTTTTTGAAGTGTGTGGTGTGGCATATTGGTAAAATAAAATAATAATAGAGTTGGAAGGGACCTGGGAGGTCTTCTAGTCCAACCCCCTGCTCAACCCTATACCATTTCAGACAAATGGTTGTTCAGTCTCTTCTTAAAAGCCTCCACCTAAAACTTCTGGTGGCATTCCATTGGTTGATTGCCCTCAATATTAGGAAATTTCTCCTTAGTTCTAGGTTGCTTCTCTCCTTGGTTAGTTTCCAACCATTTGTTTCTTGCCTTGCCTTTTGGTGGTTTGAAAAACAGTCTGACCCCCTCTTCTTTGAAGGAGTCCCTCAAATATTGGAAGACTGCTATCATGTCTGCCCTGGTCCTTCTTTTCATTATATTAGACATACCCAATTTCTGCCACCGTTCTTCGTATGTTTTATCCTCCAGCCCCCGAAATCCTCTTTGTTGCTCTTCTCTGTACTCTTCCCAGAGTCTCAACAACTTTTTAACAATGTGGTGGCCAAAACTGGATGCAATATTCCAGGTGTGATCTTATTAAGGCTTTGTAAAGTGGTACTTCACGTGATCTTGATGCTGTCCCTCTTATTAATAATAATAATAATAATAATAATAATAATAATAATAATAATAATAATAATAATAATAATAATAATAATAATTTTATTTCTATACCGCCCTTCTCCCGAAGGACTCAGGGCGGTGTACAGCCTATTAAAAACACAAAACAACATCAGTTAAAATAGTTTAAAATTATTAAATAAATTCGGCTAACTTTTAAAACCCCAGAAATTTAAAACCCAATTTAAAATTGTTATGTTGATAGCCCAGCCTGGCGGAACAACAGGGTCTTGAGCGCGCAACGAAATACCCGGAGGTCGGGGATCTTACGTATTTCCGGGGGCAGTTCATTCCACAGGGCTGGGGCTCCCACAGAGAAGGCCCTCCCCCTGGGTGTCACCAGCCGACATAACTTGGCCGATGGCACCCTGAGGAGACCCTCTCTGTGGGAACGGACTGGCCGGTGGGAGGCTATTGGTGGCAGAAGACGGTCTCGAAGGTACCCGGGTCCTATGCCATGGAGCGCTTTAAAGGTGGTGACCAACACCTTGAATCTCACCCGGAAGACCACTGGGAGCCAGTGCAGCTCGCGCAGGAGGGGTGTCACACAGGCACAACGGGTTGCGCCCATAACCACCTGCGCGGCCGCATTCTGGACCAGCTGGAGCCTCCGAGTGCTCCTCAAGGGGAGCCCCATGTAGAGAGCATTACAATAGTCCATACGGGAGGTGACAAGGGCATGAGTGACCGTGCGCAAGGCGTCCCGGTCCAGAAAGGGCTGCAACTGGCGAATCAGGCGAACCTGATAAAAGGCCCCCCTGGCCACGGCCGTCATATGCTCTTCTAAAGACAGCCATGCGTCCAGGAGGACGCCCAGATTACGAGCCATCTCCGTGGGGGGCAAAGATTCACCCCCAATAGTCAGCGATGGCACCTGCTGACTATATCGGGGCGCCGGAAGCCACAGCCACTCGGTCTTGGAGGGGTTGGGTCTGAGCCTGTTCCTCCCCATCCAGGCCCGTACGGCCTCCAGGCAGCGAGACATCACATCAAGGGCATCGTTGGGGTGGTCTGGGGTGGAGATGTACAGCTGAGTATCATCAGCGTACAGATGACACTTCACCCCCAAAAATTATTAATGCACCTTAGGATTGCATTGGCTTTTTTGGCAGCTGCAGCACACACGGCTGGCTGATAACGATTGTCCAATGGGACACCAAGATCCCTCTCACGGATACTAGCACGAAGCCAAGTTTCACCTAGCCTGCACCTATACGGTTGGTTTTTCTTGCCTACCTGTAAAACCTTTTTATCTACGCGGAATTTCCTTTTGCTTTGCTAGCATTTTATTGTCCTACACTTAATGATTAAGAAGCGAAAACTGCCATTCAGCTGGAGATGGGTTTTGATTTATATCACCCGTGACACTGAACCATTCACACCTGCAGTGGCCGGCAGCCTCAGCCAGATAATAAGCAAGGAAGATTTGTGTGCAAAATACGGCAACCCAGAGAAGGAAACGGGGAAGGGATATTAGATTTGGGGGGAAATCCCAAAAGATGCACCGAACGCTTTACAGCTTTCCTCGCATGATGAACATATGTGTACCACGCTGCCTTGGGTCAATAATTCTAGAATCACCTTTGGTCAACATGTAGGTAATGATTTCCAGTGATAACCGCTAAATACACACGCAATATTTCCTTCTGTTCCTTTTATTAAAATCAGACGTGCCAAAAATGGCCTGCATTGTTTGAGCCCAAATCCCTAATTGGATGTTGACTGTTTCTCCAGTCTTCTATAACAAGAGATATCGTTATCTGGGGTCAGTGGTGGGTTCCTCCCGGTTCAGCCTGGTTCCACCGAGCCGGTAGTGGTGACGATATGACGTCACCGAATTGGTTCTGCCCCCCCCCCATTATTCTTACCTTTTATTTGTCCCCACCCCCAATCTATTGCTGCCTCCTGAGTCCCAGCTGATGGGCTATAAGGAAAAAAACCTGTTTAAACTCTTGTCGGGGGCTTCAAAGGGCCACCCTACAGCTGATCAGTGGTAAAAGGCAGTTTGGTGGTAGACCAGTGCCTGCAAAAATACATGAGTAGACCGATGCCTGCAAAAATGAATGGGTAGACCGGTGCCTGCAAAAATACATGAGTCCTGCAAAAATAAATGAGTAGACCAGTGCCTGCAAAAATAAATGGGTAGACCAGTGCCTGCAAAAATACATGAGTAGACCAGTGCCTGCAAAAATACATGAGTAGACCAGTGCCTGCAAAAATTAATGAGTAGACCAGTGCCTGCAAAAATAAATGGGTAGACCAGTGCCTGCAAAAATACATGAGTAGATCAATGCCTGCAAAAATACATGAGTAGATCAGTGCCCGCAAAAAATAAATGGGTAGACCAGTACAGCTCTGCAAGCAGTTAAAAGCCTGGTAGACCAGTACCTCTGCTAAATCCTAAATAATTGTCACATGACCATCAAGCCACACCCACAAAATAAGCCATGCCCACAGAACCGGTAGTAAAAAATTTTAGAACGCACCTTCCGTTTTTGGTGAGGAAAAGAAGAAAAAGAAATCTGCCTCTGCCTCCCAGCAATTTTGCTTCCTTGCAGCAAACAGCCTGCTTTACTTTCATTTTCGTTTTCAGCATAGCTTGATTAGCACAAGGGGGGAAAAAAATCTGCTCCAGCAATTTACCTCTTTGCAATAAGCAGCAGAGGCTCATGCAAAACAGCTGAGAGCAAATCAGCTGAGAGTTGGGAGGCCGATCCAATCAACTTGTGCTAATTAGGCTGTGCTGACGCTGAAAGGAGCTGTTTTTTCTTGCTGTTTGCTTGCAAGGAGGTAACTGCTGCGAGGCAGAGGCCAAAGGGTGAGGGCCAGTGGATGGGCGGGGCTACATTCGGTGTATAAGACGCACCTAAATTTTCACCCCCTTTTAGAGGGGAAAAAGGTGCGTCTCATACTCCGAAAAATACGGTAGTTGGGTAATGACACGTCTGCAAGAAAACAACCAAACTCGGAGAGCATCAAGGAGCCCTGATTTCAACCCCAAGCTACAAATATTTCCTTCTATCAGTACAAAATATCTACGCTGGGGCAACACAAAAGATAGTGCAGTTTGTGGGGGATGAACTTAAAAAGACAGCCATGTGGCTGAGTTTTGCCTCTCTGGAGAGCTCTCGTTAATTCACTTAAAATTGATTTCATCTGTTACCTGTTGGGCACAATAAATTGGAGCTGTCATTTTGGAAGAAAAAGAAAAAAAGGAATTCCCAAACTCATCCACGGGATGTTGGACGGTTGCTAAGCCGCTGCCGATGACCCATTGAGCTGTTTCCTCTTGAATTCATTTCTTATTTCCGTCCGAGCCAATTTGCAGTAATCGAACCAGGGCTTATGATGGACTTTGTTGTGTTTTCGATTTCCCGGCTTTTGCCCATGATTTTTAATGACATTTCCCCCCCCCCCCCCTCTTGTCTTTGCTGTAGGACCTTCAGCCAGAAGAAAGCAATGATTGAGAGAGAATATGCACAGGTAAGGAGCAGAATGTTGCAGCTGGTTGTTGAAGGGTAAAATTTTGCATTCTCTTCCTTGTAGGCTTCCCTGCCTTTAAAAACTTCTTGTTGGCATTAAATTCATGAATTGGCCTGTTGCAGGTAATCCTCGACTTCCATCCATCCATTCATCAGATGTTTAAACCAGAGGTCTTCAGACTTGGCAGCTTTAAGACTTGTGGACTTCAACTCCCAGAATTCTCCAACCAGCTATGAATGATAGAGTTGGAAGAGACCAGAAGGGTCATCTAAGTCAGGGGTCTCCAACCTTGGCTGGAGAATTCTGGGAGTTGAAGTCCACAAGTCTTAAAGCTGCCAAGTTTGAAGACCTCTGGTTTAAAGTTACAACAACACTGAAAAAAACTAGTCCTTGCTCTTACGACAATCACAGCATCTCCAAGATCACGTGGTCAAAATTCGGGTCTGTGGCAACAAGCATGGGCAGTTGCAGCATCTGAGGGGGTGGTGTCACCTGATCACCATTGGCAACCTTCCCAGCCGGCTTCTGACCAATAGGGGAAGCCAGATTCGCTTAACGACCATTGATTCACTTAACAACCGGGGTGATTAACTTAACAGCCATGGCAAAAGCGGTTGCAAAATTGGGCACGGCTCCCTTAACAACCGTCTCACAAAGTGCTGGACGTTCCATTCCCAATTGTGATCGTAAGTCGAGGACTACCTGTACTGAAAAGGGGATGTCTCCAAACTGAGCGAAATTCCTTTCTTAACTTTCTCTATAGTGCTTCTCACAGTGGGGCGTAAGGGAACTATTCTGTAGCACAGAATAGGATAGAATTTTTTTATTGGCCAAGTGTGATTGGACACACAAGTAATTTGTCTTTGGTGCATACGCTCTCAGTGTACATAAAAGAAAAGATACGTTCATCAAGAATCATAAGGTACAACACTTAATGATAGTCATAGATAGATAGATAGATAGATAGATAGATAGATAGATAGATAGATAGATAGATAGAGATATAGATAGATAGATAGAAAGAATTCTTTATTGTCCAAGTGTGATTGGACACACAAGGAATTTGTCTTTGGTGCATACGCTCTCAGTGTACATAAAAAGAAAAGATGCATTCGTCAAGAATCATAAGGTACGACACTTAATGATAGTCATAGATAGATAGATAGATAGATAGATAGATAGATAGATAGATAGATAGATAGATAGATAGATAGATAGATAGATAGAATTCTTTATTGGCCAAGTGTGATTGGACACACAAGTAATTTGTCTTTGGTGCATACGCTCTTAGTGTACATAAAAGAAAAGATACATTCGTCAAGAATCATAAGGTACAAAATTTAATGATAGTCATAGATAGATAGATAGATAGATAGATAGATAGATAGATAGATAGATAGATAGATAGAATTCTTTATTGGCCAAGTGTGATGGGACACACAAGGAATTTGTCTTTGGTGCTTAAGCTCTCAGTGTACATAAAAAGAAAAGATACATTCGTCAAGAATCATAAGGTACAACACTTAATGATAGTCATAGATAGATAGATAGATAGATAGATAGATAGATAGATAGATAGATAGATAGATAGATAGATAGATAGATAGAATTCTTTATTGGCCAAGTGTGATTGGACACACAAGGAATTTGTCTTTGGTGCTTAAGCTCTCAGTGTACATAAAAAGAAAAGATACATTCGTCAAGAATCATAAGGTACAGCACTTAATGATTGTCATAGGGTACAAATAAGCAATCGAATCACACTAGGAAACAATATAAATTGTAAGGATACGGCAATAGGTTACAGTCATGCAGTCATAAGTGGGAGGAGATGGGTGGTGGGAATGATGAGAAGATTAATAGTAATGCAGACTTAGTAACTATTACTAAGTAATATTAAAAATATTACTGATTATTGTTCCCTCTGTGCAAAAGCTCGCAGAGAACTTCACTGGCTTTGATCTAGATGAGGGGGAGGGGGGGTCTCCAAACTTGGCCACTTTTAAGACTTGTGGACTTCAACTCCCAGAATTCCTCAGCCGGACATGCTGGCTGGGGAATTCCGGTAGTCCACAAGTTTTAACATTGTGAAGTTTGGAGACCATTGATCTAGTCCAGGGGTGGCCGACTGTGGGCCTTTTTTTTGACCTGTGGACTTCAACTCCCAAAATCCCTAAGGCGGCATGGGAGATTATGGCCCCTTTATGACTTGTGGACTTCAACTCCCAGAATCCCTGAGCCAGCATGTGGAATTAATTCTCTTGGTTGCTCTTCTCTGCACTCTTTCTAAACCAGAGGTCTTCAAACTTAGCAGCTTTAAGACTTGTGGACTTCAACTCCCAGAATTCTATGCTATGCTGGCTGGAGAATTCTGGGAGTTGAAGTCCACAAGTCTTAAAGCTGCCAAGTTTGAAGACCTCTGTTCTAGACTCTCAACATCTTTTGTATATCGTGGTGATGAAAACTGGATGCAGCACTTCCAAGTGTGGTCTTACCAAATGTTACCATTTAGTGATATATACCAGTATATCTTTAAGTGAATTTTAGCTGATAAGAGACCCTTAAGAAAGAAAAATGAGTGTTTTCCTGCTGTCTGCTTAGAGTACGTCTGTAGCGCATTTAATTGTTTTGTAACCAGAATTTGCTTTTCTAGGCAGGCCTAATTCTTCTGCCAAATCTATTGTGTTTCTTTTGTGGTTTTCCTCCTTCTTTCTAACAGTCTGCCAGTTGTCAGTTTTTTCAAAATCTTTTTTTTTTTAACCTTCATTTTCGCCCTCCCGGAGGCTAGAGAAAAGCCTCCGGAGCCTGGGGAGGGCAAAAACGCCCCACCCACCCACCGTGGTGCAGGAGGCCGACTAGGCCACGCCCCCTCCCCATGGCCGCCCCCCCCAAAGCAACTGGGCAGAGGACCTCTTGCTAAAAATTTTGGAAGCCCACCCCTGGAAGGAATTAATATTCTAGATCGGTTGAACGCTACAATCTCTCTTGAAAGCTCCTGAGTCCCGCGCTGAGAATTTGGATTGCTTCAGAAAAAAAACTTTATCGGTAATATATCCAAAACCAACATTTGTTGCTCTCTCACTCTGGACCTTACAGGCAGTTGGCTGCCTGTAAAAAAAAAATTCCAAATTATTGGGCATTTTGGAAAGGATCTCATTGGAACCCAAGCTTGCAACTCTCAGCTGTATACACAATGGAAGAACATTAGTAAGATAAACTGGGAACAAAGGCTTTGGAATATCCTGTTTTATCAGGCCGCCCGGCTTTTCTTCTAAAGAAGGTCAGACAGTGGGGGCTCTGACCTTAAGAAGGAATTAATTCATCAAAAAATAATAATTATTATTATTTTCCAGATGTCCAGCAAAGATGGTCTGTTTTGTTACGTGGAAGAGACAATAAACTTTTTTTTTTATTGAAAAGTTTTACAAATTTTTTTTCCCCCAGTATTCCCCCCCACCCTTTTTCCCTTCCCCCCCCACCCCCAATAATTTCTCTTATTAACTTATAAACTTGAAGGGACTTTTCAGCACATCGTTTAGAGACTTGCTGTTTGAGTGTCCCGTTTTTGTTTAAAGTTTTGTTGTTGTTTTTTAAATTAGCATGGTGTTGAAAACGGAACTAGGCTTTAAAGAAATACAGGTAGTCCTCGACATAACGACCACAGCTGAGGCCAAAATTTCCGTTGCTAAGCGAGGCAGTTCTCAAGTGAGTTTTGCCCCGTTTGACGACCTTACTTGACACATTTGCTAAGCGAATCAATGCAGCTGTTAAGTTAGTTAACCTGGTTGTTAAGCAGATCTGGCTTCCCCATGGACTTCACTTTGTCAGAAGGTTACAAAAGGGTATCACATGAACCCAGGACACTGCGACCGTCATAAATAGGAGTCAGTTGCCAAGCGTCTGAATTTTGTCTGTAGAGATTCTCAGTCATCCAGGTCCTGGTTGACTGAGAATCTCCATAGACTATTCAATTTGGGATGAAGACCCTTGGAATGGGGTGGGAGGAGGAATGGATTTCCAGAGGAAAAATGGCAGACTACAGGAACCATTTGCTCCACTCAGGTGTCCCTGAGGATACAGGTAACTCTCCAAGTGGCCTCAAGGACTCCCTAAAAGGATGCAAATGACCAGCTCTCTGTATGCAAGGAGTATCAATCCTTCCCTTCCCCACCATCCAGTCAGAGCTGAAGAAGCTTCTTGGAGGAGAAGCTAAACATCTTCAAAGAAAAATCAAAAAATCCAGGTGCCTCTTGAAAAAAAGCACCTTTGGGACTTCTGAATTTTCATCACGTGACCACAGGGATGCTGTAATGGTCATAAGTGTGAAAAACAGTCGTTAAGTCACTTTTTTCAGCGAGGAGAGGAGAGGAGAAGAAAGGAAAGGACAGGAAAGGAAAGAGGGGAGATGAAAGGAAAGGAAAGAAAAGAGGGGAGATGAAAGGAAAGGAAAGGGGGCAGGAGAAGAGAGAGAGGAAAGGAAAGGAAAAGAGAGGAGAGGAAAGGAAAGGAAAAGAGAGGAGAGGAAAGGAAAGGAAAAGAGAGGAGAGGAGAGGAAAGGGGAGAGGGGAGTACAAGACGGGACGGGAGAAGAAAGGAAAGGAAAGGAAAAGAAAGGAAAAGAAAGGAAAGGGGACAGGAGAAGAAAGGAGAGAGGAAAGAAGAGGAGAAGAAAGGAAAGGACAAGAAAGGAAGAGAAAGGAGAAGGAAGAGAAAGGAAAGGAGAGGAGAAGAAAGGAAAGGACAGGAAAGGAAGAGAAGAAAGGAAAGGAAAGGAAAGAAGGAAAGGAAAGGGGACCGGAGAAGAAAGGAGAGAGGAAGGAAAGGAAAAGAGTAGAGGAAAGGAAAGAGGGGAGAGGGGAGTACAAGACAGGGCGGGAGAAGAAAGGAAAGGGGAGAGGAGAAGAAAGGAGAGAGGAAAGGAAAGGAAAGAGGATAGAAGAGGAGAGGAAAGTTTCCATGAAATCCACCGTATATTTTATGATTCCATCTGTAACGTCCTG